GTAAAACGGTGTTCCGAACAGGAGCCACCCTGTAGGACTGTCACAAAGGTTAAATGACAGGACCCGACAATGCTTAGCAGATGATGATCCCCTAGGCTTTGAATATTATTACTTTATATGCACACATACATGCCCGAGAGAGAGAGAGAGAGAGAGAGAGAGAGAGAGAGAGAGAGAGAGAGAGGCCAGTGCAAGTGCTGGATGTCCTCCTCTATCACTGTCCACTGTCCTGCTGTGAGACAGGGCCCGTAACTTAACTGGCAGCTCACTGTTTTGCTAGACGGGCTGGATATCAAGCTCCCAGAATATACATGTTTTTGCCCCCCAATACTGGAGTTACAGACACACACAGTCACGTCTGGATTAACGTGGGTTCCAGAGATTTGAACTCGGATTTTTAAGCTTGCAGAGCGAGCTTTCTCACCCTCCGAGCCACCTCCCCAGCCCTCATGGATGTTTCTTAGCGCTCCAGCATCTGTGAGTCAGGCTCTCTGAGGGTGAGCCTAGGGCATCTGTGTCAAACGGGTGCCTCAGAGACTTCGATGCCCTTCGTACTTGAGCACGGCTCACAGGAACACTCGAGTGTTTTCCTGTTTCACCCTCTGCCCAGGTTTTTGATGCTTTGCTGTGCATTTGAGTTTCTTTTCCCTTTCTAAGCAAATCTCCACAGACCTCCGTGGAGCCACACGCTCTGTGTCAGCAGCTGAGGCCAGGAGGCTGTGTGGAGAAGTGAAACTGCCTTATGGGACACAGCATGTCTGGTCGGACCCGTTCCCCCTGGGTGGGGACTTTGCAGTTACTTTAAGCGGCAGAATTCACTTATTGAAGTAAAGCAGATGGGAAGAAACAAACTGAAAACCAATAAAAACACGGTTTCTCCACAAACAGAAGGGCGGCCCACTAGAGAGGCCCCACGGCTCTGCAGGGTGGCCTACAAACAGCATGGGTATCAAGAGATGCATGTCCCAGACGTTTGCGGGACCTGTGTGATCACAGGAGAGGCATTCCCATTGTCTGGCCGTCACTGCATTCCCGGCAGGAGGAGACTGTGCTGTATAAGTTTGTGTGAGCTTCAGGAACAAATAGACCCAAGCACGCTTACTGCCCCAAACACGGAAGAGACAGCACAAGGCAGCCAGCTCTTTTTCTCTTCTGGTTCTCTCTCTGAGACCTTTTTTTTTCTTTACTATTTTCCCTGTGTTACTCATGTTTCCCAGGCCATTTCTATACTTCTGGGCTCAAATAATTCCCCTGCCTCGATTACCCAAGTATCTGGGATGGTAGGTGCACAGCGGAATGCCTGGCTTAAGGAACATGCTTCAGAGTGGAGGATCCCCTGCCCTAGGGAGTCAGTGACCCAACTGGCAGCTCCACGCTCCCATTGGTGACATTCCGGTGGGCCCAGTGGTAGATGGGAAAGTGTGAAGGTGTCAGATGGCCTGGCTAGATTCTTCCTCCTGGGAACCTCTGTGAGGTAGTCTCCTGCCTCCCATTGAAGTGAGGTGCTGATTGGTTAGGTGACATTCCAGAGGCTCTTGATGTGGTTAACCTGTGTCCCACAGGACCCACAGGTTCTGGTGTCCCACAGGTGGCCCTTTCTATGCTACCTCCAACAGGGAGGCGCTGAGCCAGCCCTGGGGTGCAGGGAAAGGGCTGCTTGTGGCATCCTCTTTGTGCTGCTTCCGGATTCAGGGCCCTGTGCTGTTTCTGGGTTCGGTCAATAGTGGGACACCGGGCAATTTATTTATCTCAGAGTCTCAGCATTTTCGCAGCAAGGGTCACAAGTGAGATTGGAAAAGAGCGACGCTGCTGGATGGAATGGAGGTGCAGTTTGTATGATGCAGCTGTCTTAGAAAGAAATGCTTGCAGCTGAAGTCAGCAGCTGGCAGTTGCCAGAGATCCTCGAGCAGGCTGCTGCAGGATTCAGCTCTCAGCCTTGCCCCTTGACCTCCTCATCCCGATTGTGGGACCAGATACTCCAATATGCACAGAGGGCTGAGTACATCGTGTGCCTCTCTGAGGAAGCCCGGACTTGGAAATGCGCTTGGGCAGATCTGAGCAGCCTTTGGCTCCAGCCTGGGACCTTTGCCTGGGCTCTGGTGGGGGTGCCTGGGTGTCCTCTCCACATGCTTTGGAAATGCTGGAAGTACCCACAGCTGAGTCAGCAGGGCTCAGAATCACTTCTGCTTTCTTGGGGGTACAGGTTCTGAGTTCTCAGCCCAGGCTGGTGATGGGGCAGTTCTTGTGCAAGGAGGTGGGTGGTCAGGGAAATCAATGCATAGAATGGCTGGACACACCCAGCGTTCCCCTGGGGCTCAAGGATGACAGGGGCAGTGATCGCATGAGGAGAGGCTGCTGAGGGATGGTGGTCGCAGGCCCTGCATTGCAGGCCTGTGTTCTGGCTCAGCTCCTTGGCCTCAGTCTCTTCCTCTCAGAGTTGCCTAGGTTGCCCTGCTCTTTGGTCTGTAGTCCACTCTCAGTGAGTGGCCCAGGGGCGTGGTTAAGGACAGATGCTCACCCCTGTTGCATGAACTTGTCAGAACAGTCTCCAGAGTCCGAGTCCCTCCACGAGAGAGGGGTGGGTGTGGGTGCCATCCTGGTTTCTTTCTTACTGTGACAAACACCCTGGCCAAAAGCAACTTAGGAGAAGAAAGGATTTATTCAACTCACAGTTCCAAGTTATGGTCCATCACCGAGGGGAAGTCAAGGCAGGAACTCACGCAAGCTGGTCAATCCCAGCCATTGCCAGGAGTGAAGAGTAAAGCTGTCCTCTCTGTTTACACATTCTCACAATGGGCTGGCTTAATTAACAATCAGGACAGTGGCCCACAGACACAACCACAGACCCAGGACAGTGGCCCACAGACACAACCACAGGCCCAGGACAGTGGCCCACAGACACAACCACAGGCCCAGGACAGTGGCCCACAGACAGGCTCATAGGTCAGCCTGGCAAAGATAATTCCTCATGAAGATTTTCTTCTCAGGCTCACCAGTTAAGTATGCATCCTGTTCTCTCTGAGGACCTCATATGATTCCCAGAACTCACAGTGGATGGCTTGAGCCACCTGTAATATAAATCCAGCCCCTGTGTGATCCAGCACCTCTGGCCTAGGGAGGTGCTGTACATGCACTTGTAATTAAAAATCTAAAATGAATGAAAAAAAAAATTTCCCAGGCGACTCTAAGTTATATCAAGTTAACAGTTAGTCTAACCAGCGGGTAGCAAGTGGATCAGCTTCAAGATCACACCTGGCTACCCTGTATGTGGAGCTTCTCTGTGTCTCAGCAACCGCTCCCAAATAACCACTCGGAGGCTTAATATTAACTGTAAATGCTCAGCCAATAGCTCAGGCTTATTACTAGCTCTAACTCTTACATTTTAAATTAACCCATATTTCTTTATCTACCATCAGCCACATGGTAATATTATCTTTCAATGTGACACATTCATCTTGCATCTCTGCATCTCTTGAAACTCCTGAGACTCCACGCTTCTCCCTCCCAGTGTCCTCAGTCCGGCTGTCCTGCCTATACCTCCTGCCTCACTACCAGTCAGTCAGCTCTTTGGTTAAACCAATCAGATGTCGCCTTGGCAAAGACACATCTTCACAGTGTACAAAAAGATGATTCTATAACACCACCCCGCAGTCACAGCTGTCAAGTGACTTTCTGTTATCTAAGAACAGGTGCGCCGATTCTGGGGACCAGGATGTGGGCATCTTTGAGGGACTGCCTATCCTTACAGGCTACCCTGAGGGAAACCCAAATGGTAAGAGTTCTGGGCCATTTCTCTGAGGAGCACAGCAAGGAGCAAAGAGCACCAATGTGGGTGGGGCTGAGGCAGGCATAAGGAGAGGGCAGGTCTGATCTCGGCTCTGGACTCTGGCACTGAGGTGGGTTTGGGTCCCTGCTTTAGCGGGTAGGAGCTGCTGACTGCAGGTGACTGTGCTCTTGTGGAAGAGGTGGTGGTAAGATGCAGTCAGGTTTGCTGGTAGGTTTGTCAGTGAGGTCACATGTGCCAACTGAGGTGGTAACCATTTGCCCAATCAGGCTTGTCCTCTGCCGATCTCAGGTTCTCAATCTCGGTCCCCTCAGTATAAGAGCCTTGGCTGCCAGGCAGAGAGGCTCTCTCCTTGTCCCGGCCCATCCCCCACCAAATGAATGGACCCCAGGGAGTTTCACATGTAAAGCAGTTGCCCTAACTCTGAGCCAGACCTCAGCCTCAGCCCTGGTTTCTTTTTTTTCTTTCCCCTCCCCTAGGGGATGGGAGAGGGTGGGTGAGAGGCCTAGAAGATCTCACTAATTGCCCAGGCTGGCCCTTGAACTCACTTTCTAGGCCAGATAGGTCTGGAACTTGAGATGCCCCTGCCTTAGCCTCCTGAGTAGCTGGAATTACAGACATCACCTCAGTTGGCCACTATACCACCCAAACTAATCGACAATCCCATTTCTTAGGTGGGAAAAATGAGGCAGGGAGGCTGTGGGTAAGCCGAGAGGCAGCCTTCGTTCTTGGGCGTCTATGAGGCGCCTGCTTTGCTATATGCTCATGGCAGGGAATTTGCGAGGAGCCCATCCTGCCTAAGGAGCTCCTAGGGTCTCAGGAAGACAACTGAGAACAGAGTGGGAAGCTTGGAGCACACCACTCCTGGGGTGGGAACACCATCTGCCCATTCGTCAAGGCTTTTTTGACCAAGAACAAATTGTTAGCCGCATCCACACTGGTGTTGGCCGGAGACACTTGGTGGCCAAGGGTTGTAGGAGCAAAGGGGAGATGGCTTTCACAGGAATGGCAGGAAACCAGTCCCCAGACAGGAAGCCCGTCTCTGAGCTGGGTTCAAAGCACAATCTGGCCTCAAGTTGCCCGAAGGGAAGCTGGCAGGAACAGGAGTGAGGGGGAGCGTGGATGGGGAGTGGAAGACCAATGGCTCTGGGGTGTGTGGTAAAGAGGGCAGGGAGCAGGGGGAGGCTGCAGGCTCTGCAGGGCCTTGAAGGCCCCACCCAGTTTTCTGGGTGGCCTGACATGCTCCATTTTACCAGCATGGTATACCCACCCTCTTCAAACTCGGTGCTTACATTTGAAGTTGTGGAAATGGAAGATTCCAGACAACCAGAACTAACTGAGTTTAAAATTTGAAGTCTGGGGCTTTATGTGCTGGGTTGTTGGGCTATAAACCAGACCATCTGCTCTGACTGGGGCAGGGGAACTGTAGGATGTGTGTGTTGGGGGGGACACAGGCACAGAGGTGCGAGGTGCTGAGATGGTGTTAGGGTTTTCCGGGTGTGAGCCCTGACCTGCCTGTCGTGTTTGGTGATTCCTTCCCAGCAGGGGCAATACTCTGCCACACACGCTGTGGCCAGCAGGCCTGGCTGGCATCACAGGGTTCTGTGGAAGGGAAGGAGACCAAACCACGGGAAGATTCACTCTTGAGGGTATGTGGGCACTTTCAGTCTCCTTATGACATGCGCAGACTCCCAGGATCTGGGTCATGGAGAACAGGGAGTCAGTCTTTCCAGTACTGTCTTGAGGGACAGCAGCCTCGAGGCCTACCCAGTCCACTTTGGGACTGACCACCTCAGACTGTTCCCGCAATGTCTTTACCACACACTCACGGGAGATGGGAGGGAGCCCGTTCCACCGTGTGTGACAATATGGATGGGATGCAGTGAGGCAGTGTCCTAGTGACACAGCCTCCATGTCCCGATCTGAGAAAGGAGTTGTGACAATAGTTTGGGATGACTTATTAGGAAAAAATCCTTTAAAAATATTAACGAATGAGTTAATTTTATTTTATATATCTCATTCAAAGAGATTGGAACTGGGCAGTGGGAATTAGGCTAATCACATTGGTAGGGATGCAGGCTGCTGCCTCTGAGTGCTTACTTTGATTACTCAGAAGTGCTTAGTCTTGGTGCTAGCTTGACATTGTTGTTTGCATCTTTGTTACTGGCTGATCCTTAGCCACATGGGTTTGGTTAGACAGGATGTGGTTGGCAAACTGAACCCCCTTTCAAAAGGAGAGTATTCTAGAAGCTGGGGTAGTACCCCTGTGCTATTAGGTGACTGAAGAACCCTGGTAAAACAGCAGGCGGCTGACTCTCTAGATGTTTCTGCAACCACCAGTATGGCCATCTGGTCTACCCCTGGGGAGGGTAGCACCTGCTTGTTTCCTTGGGCTGTTGTGTGCAGAAACTAGGGACTCCTCTAGATCCCAGCGCCTTAAGGCATGGGTTCTGTGTTGTTTCCCCAGAGCAATATGCAGAAGTGTGGAATGTGTGTGTCCTCTGTCTTGGTGACCCCCCACGACCATCTATCGCCTTTTGCTCTCCCTCTGCCTCCCTTCCTTCCCCCAGGCTCATGTCTGGTCTCAGAGGAAGGGGTCTGGGTGGTCCCTCCCCTCAGGAGCTGACTGTGGTGAGACCCAGCTACCACACTGTGGGAGGGAGTGTGCCTGCTGCCTAGTCCACACGCCCAGCAGCCTCACCCTGTGTCCACCACATCCTGGTGCTCTGTAGATACCAAAAGGGTGAGCAAGCAAGCGAGCCTGACAGCAGAGGGACCCTCAGGGAATAAGATCTGGGACATCCCTGAGGCCTTCTCTCTCCCTGAGGGAAGAATAAACCTTAACCACAATTCTTGTGAGGGCTTGTGGTGTTTTATTTTGAAAATATGTGACATTATTTTAAGAGTGTCTGTGTGTGTGCAGGCATGCATTGGACAGCTTGAGGAGTTTGCATTCTTCCACACAAGTCTGTGTGTTTTCAACATAAATGCGGCTTTTAGACTGTACATGGTGCTCCAATTATGTCATCCCAGCACTCAGGAGCTGAGGCAGGAGGATGGGGAGTTCTAGGTCACCTGGGCTTGATGGTAAGAGCCCACCTCCAAAAACAAACATGTAACCCCCATTTGCAAAATAAATGGAAAATAACTTGAGGCCTCCATAAGCCTTTGGGCCAGCTCTAGAGGGAGATGGAGGCTGAGGTTGGGCTCCTGTCATGCAGCTGATGAGAAACTTGAAGGAGAATTGTGTTCTGTGGTCTGAGGGAGACCCCAGCAGGTAACAAACCTTCTTCCTCTTGCCGCCCTTCCCAAGGAAATAGGGATACAATAGAGAGGTTAAGTGACTTGCTCGAGACACGGCGAGTGATTGGCCTGAGTCAGAGTTCGAAGCCGCAGTGCTTAACCACAATGCTCACAAAGGTGTTACTTTGGCAGGATCTGTTTGTATCTGTCACCTCAAGTCTGTGGCAGGGCAGATGAGATCAGTTTCCTGGACAACGAAGAATCCTTCCTTGAAGAGCTAGGAGCCTGATAAGGGACAGAAATAAGTAAAAAAAAGTTCTTAGAAGTTCTACCGAGGACCGTGGCTCAGACACCATCTTGGATGAGGTGAGGTTTGGAGGGCTTCGATGTGTTGAGGGTATGTCTCAGGGTCCTGGTCGGGAGGAGCTCATTTTTATTTAAAAGTGGGTCCCTTTTCCATTGTGAATTTTTTTTCCTGTAAAATGTAAAGCTATCCCAGGAAATCTATAGGCTTGATTAGCGAGTTTGGGGGTACCCCTCTCTCCTAAATTCATGCTCCAGGCTCTCCTCTCACCCACCTAGCTCAGTGTGTGAGAGGATGTCTTAGGGTATTTCTGTGGCTGAATACTCCATGTTGAGGTTGGTGAATGGCAGGAGAGATTTTGGGTGCTCACCCTTAGCCAAGGCACAGAGCAGTGAGACCCAGAACCCTGTTCGACGGTAGCAGTGATGGGCCTGGGAGATGGCTCGGTGTGTGAGAATGCTCCTTCTGCAAACACGAGAGCCTGAGTTCACATACCCAGCATACATGTACAAAGCCGGGTGTGATCGCTGTGCCTGTGAGTCCAGGACTGGGGGACAGAGACGGGTGGGTCCTGAGTGTGCACTGGCCTGCCCTCACTATACAAACCAGTGACCTTCTGATTTGGTGAGAGACCCTCCTCACAAAGAAAAAGGTGGAAGGTGATAGAAGAAGAAACTGGGGGTCCTGCTCAGGCCTCCTCGTGCATATGTGCTGGGGCGCACACCACACGTGCAATAGCACAGATACTAATGGCTTTTCTGGGGCTCCACCATGGGCTGTGCACTGTTGTTGTGAGGTCTGTTTTCCTCCTCTTACATCCCAATACCCACCCTGTGAAGCATGTGCAGTTACTGCTTCACTTGGGAACACTGACACAGGACCCCAGCTCTCCCGGGGGCTACACAGCAGAACTGGCCTTTGGCCCGAAGGCTGGGCTTCCGAGTCGTGGCTGTTATCGTTATGCACTGAGTCCAGCTTTGGGGATCCTGGCTTCTTTCTTTTTTAGCTGTGTGTTGTTGGGCAGCTTGCTTGACCCTCCTGAGCTTCAGTTTTCTCTCCTGAGGGGGTCATCAGAGCTTTGGGGAGGCTGAGGATGAGTGAGAGGTGGGGGGAGTGTGAGGGACAGGCAGTGGGGGGGGGGTCTCAGTGTTTCAAGGGTTTTCATTCCTGGCTCCAGACCCAAGAGGCCTTGGAAACCTGAACCAACAGAGAAGTCACAGCCAGGACTCTTGGCAGGACTGCTAGGGAGCAGAGAGGGGGACAAAGGTTCCTCTGTCAGCCACTCGGGGCCTGGAGGGGCCTGATGGAAGAACCATGAGTGTTCCAAAGAACAAGACTCCTGCCCAGAGGCGGGCTGGCACTGCGGCCTGCCAGGCACTGCTCCTGGGCCAGGCTGGAAGATTCCTCTGGACTCTTTTTGAAGGGCTTGGGAAGTGATTTTTCCTCCCTCCACCCAGGGTTATTGTTATTTTATTTTAGAACCAAATAAAGATGGAACGCATCTTCACCTTGGCAGCTGCTAAGAGTTCTCATTATACCAGGTCACCTCCAGATTACCAACCCTCAGGCTTACGATGACACTGGTCACCTGCCCTCTGCAGAGGCTGCCTCTCTAGCCTCCGCACTACTCTCTGAACCCCTGCCATCCAGCTGTACCCATGGGGTTACTTAGGGCCCAGAGATGCGTCTGCCCAGTGCACTGCAGCTCTCCTGCTCCCTGCAGTAGCCCATGATACGGTGGATAATGTGGAAACTAAGGGCCAGAAGTGGACTAGCTCTCCCGACCAGAGTGAGAGCGGGTATTTCTGTGACTGGTGCTGCAGGTGCGGCCCGGCTGTGTGAGGACCTCTTGACCCTGGAGGAAGCAGTTCACTGGCTATGGAACAGCGTGGCTCTACCAAGGAGGGCCAGCCCTGTTTCCTCATTATAAAAGCTCCTCAAGGACTTACCTAGCAGGCACAAGGCCCAGAGTTCCATCTCAGCCACCACACATCAACAAAGATGAAAAAAGGAAGATAACTCAAAGGAAAACTTAAAACAACAAACTCTGGAAAGAGGGAGTGGGGGGCTAAGGATTCAATTGTAACGTTATAACACACATGGCAAAACTGCCTAAACACTGTAACACTAAGAGACTCGACAGAGATCAATTGCCCATCCGGCCCAACAGTAAGCAATTGGAAGGAAGCTGTCCCCAGGCCTGTTACTGAAAAGCTGGTGAAGCTAACAGTGAGCTATTATGCAACTATCTAGAAGGAGGGGTATGATGATTGACCATCTCCAAAATTGGATAAAGAAGGAAGGTGTATATATCTTTTCTTTTATATAAAGGGTGTGTGTGTGTGTGTGTGTGTGTGTGTGAGAGAGAGAGAGAGAGAGAGAGAGAGAGAGAGAGAGAGAGATCCCTTTGTAATTACTCAGAGGCTTCAGAATGGCACCCGGTAACCTGGTACAGGAGCTGAGTGCCCTGGGAACAGATGGATCGTAGAGTGGAAGGGGTAGGGCTTTTTGTTCTAACTCTTCAGAGTTCTACATGGTTTGAACATCTCTAATTGGATAAAGCTGTGTCACCTAGTCAGAAATTTAGTAATGAAAAGAGATGAGACTTTAGTTCTGAGTGGAGACCCTCTCAATAGTCAATGTTTTGTTTTGAGTGTGTGTAGCAGACTCCTGGGCCTGTGGTCTCTGTGACCTTCCGGGACAAGCCTGGGAGTTCAAATTACCTCCACTTGGTTCTAGTTCTTAGTGGTGTCACAGGGGAAGGGTCCTTGTGAGGTTTATGTAGCTCCCCATCCTCCTGGTAGCTGCCATGCGTGTCTGGTTGTCTCCTGTGGGCCAAGCTGACATCTTGGCACAGATCTGCGGCCTCTTCCCACAGCAATCTTGAGACTCAAACCCTTGGTAAGTGCTTTCAGGAGAGTGATGGGTCCTCCTGGCCCTCCTCAATGCTCACTTCCAATGCATGGAGGCTTCTAGAGAAGTCAGTGACCCCAAGCTCAGTCCAGAAAGGCCTGATATGTCTTAATCTTGTCTCTGCCAGAACTTTCCCAAACATCCCCCACCACTCTGTCACCAAACGACTCGCATTAAGTAACGCCTCTTCTGAAATCTTCTGAAAGAGCTGCAGGTCAGGGCAGAGCTCTGGCCTTGTGTGCAAAAGGTCCATCTTCAGCATTGCGTAAGCTATGAATAGCAAACAAGCCACAGCTTTCCTGTGACATCACCCAAAGTCCCAGATGACCTTCTCCTGGGCCCAGCACAGGGGCTGCCCTTTTGCTGCTGGCTCGAACCTCCCAGCTCAAAGCCCAGGCCCCTTCTGCCTGGGTGTGGGTCTTGGTTCTCTTCTCTGATCTTGCAGCCTGCCCCTAGCCCCTCTCCTTCTGGTGTTTCTCTCTTTCTCTGCCTTCATCTTTCTTGTCTTGGTATCTTGTCTCTTCCCCCTAAGTTTTCTCCCCACCCCCTTTGTCTTTCTGTCCCTACCTCTGTGTCATCTTGGTCCACATTTCTTTTAGCTCCTTGGTGCTTGCTCCTGACTGTGGTTTCCAACTCCACCAGGCCTCTGACCTGCAGGAGTCTGAAGAGAGAGGACTGGTCCTCTGCTTTCCTGAAGCCAAGGGCAGACCAGCTTTGAGGACAGTGACCAGTGCAGCCACCAAGCCCTGGTAGTGGTACACTTGAGATTCTGCCACTGTTTGTTCTGAGGGCCAGTGACTTCTTAGGGACGAGGGGCTGTGTTTTCTTATTGCACTGGGCCTGTGTGTGGAGGTCATGACCTTCTTTGACTTGAGACAGAGGAGGTGCCACACTGAGAAGACTCTTGTTCATCTAACAGCAGGGGGTCACTGAACTCCTCCCAATTAAACAGATGAAATAACTGTAGATCCAGAGAAGCCAAGCCACTTGCCCAAGGGCACACAGCTTGTGGGCCTGGCGGAATAAAACTGATTCTGAAGGGAGGACATTGAGCAGCACCTGCTACTTCAGTGGTCCTAGGAGCCAGTGAGGTCACCTGCTTGCCTGTGAGCACAGAGGTGAGGAGGGGCTCTGTCTGTGCAGAGTCAGCTGGGGTCCTGGGTGTCTCCTCACCAGGTGCCCAGTGCGTGGCTGCCTTGGTGAGTAGCTCTCCAAGCCTTAGTTTCCTGACCTTTCATGGGTGGATCACAGTGCCGGCCTCCTGGGTTATTACTGGAAAGCAGTGGCTCAGGATGAGAGCTTGGCTGGAAAACGAAGCTGGAGAGACCAAGGCTGAGCCTTGTGAAGGAGAATGAGGTGGGTTTGCAGTGTGGGTGCAGGGTACAGGTGTAAGGGGGACTGTCTGTGGTGTAAGCAGGTACTCACAAGCAAGTTTGGTTTGTATGATAAACCATATTAATAAACAAGAAGAGTAGGGACCACAGAATTGGCCCAGGCTGTCTCCTACCAGTACAGACTGTCAATAGTATCCAACCTGTGGATGCTGACGTCATCAGGACATCAGCGCGGAGAAGTAGAGGGATTCTGTTCTGACATTCCTGGGAATATTCTTAGAAGCTGTTTTTTCAGTTTTAAGCCAGCCGCATATATTCCTGCTGGACTGAACAGTTAGCCTTCCCTGGTACATTCAGAGGAAATGACTTTGTTGAACGGCTGTATGGTCAGTCTCTCCTGCAATACCCCAGGCTAGGTGTGGTTAGGTTCCCAGGAGCCCTGTCCCATAGCCTGGGCAAAAGTATTCTGATCTTAGCACCAGAAATCTGCCTCACTGTGGTTTGGACTGTTCATTGCCAGGACCACGTGACCTGGAAGCTGGCATCTCTTCCCTGGCCAGGAGCCTCAGAGATGGAGGCCCCTGGGAGCAGTTCCGGCATTGCTGTCTGGTCTGTTTCCTTCTCAGGCCTGGCTCCCAATTTGTTCCTTCCAGGTCCCTTCCTCCTTTCACTCTTACTCTTAGTTTATGTTCCTCACACACAAACTTCTCCTTTGAACTCTCACCCTCTTCTGGTCTGAGCCGGTACCTTGGCAAACGCCAGCCTACCATCCTAACACCACTGTGAACCCCTTCCTCCGGAGGACTCAGGGTGTG